TTATATAACAATATATTTTATTATAAATTTATAATATTACATAATATTATAATTATAATATTTTACCATTAAGGATTACAACTCTTTTACCATAACAAGGTGGCAAAAGGTCTCTATGTGGCAGCCCAAGCTCATCCTAGTTATTTGTTATTTATTTATTTTTTGTTCAATGAGAGTCAAACTTTTTAATCAAACCTTCAATTTCAAGATTTAAATTTTATGTTAGAATTTGAAAAATATTTAATTACATTAAATATATTAAATCAAATAAAATTTTCAAAATGAATATAAATTAATTCAAAAACACCTTAATCATTAAAAAAAAAACATAATAATAAGCCAACTTCTAAACTTTCTTAAAATCTACAGGCCAAGCTTAAATTTAGATTTTGGACAGTGTCAAATGCATATACTGCATGGAAACGGTGGGCCCTCCGGTTCCTGATTAAGCACTTTTTCTTACGGCATTAAAAGCGCAAAGGTAAAAGAACCAAACTGGCCGATTAATGTCACCTCATTTGTCTCCTTTCTTTTTTTGTTCTTTTTCGGATTCCAGATGCGTGGTGGTTTTGGTGACGAGCATTTAAATTGTCTTCTCGTTCCTTCTTTCACAAATTGAACGTTGATGATGACTAAGAAATTGCTCTTTTCAAGCTTCAATTAAATGAAGGAAGCGGCATGTACCAACAAATCACACCCTTGAAGTCCAAATTCATGATGGCATCACTAAATTTTGCAATATCATCATCTAGTGCACCCATGTATTTTAATTAATTAATTAAAAAAATAATAATTAATATAATTTTTAATTTAACATATTTTATAATATGTTTATTAAAAAATTATTATTATTTAATTATAAAAAAAATTTTAAATACAAAATTTAATAATTGAATCAATAAATATTAATGAGTGTATTGAATTAAGAATTGAATTAAAATATGTACCAGTAATTCTACTAAATAAAAACAAGGTATTCCTCAACATGTTTCTGATTTCATCTTGCTACCAATTTTAGGACAATAAAATTCTACCATGTAACCAGGGGCGGAGGTAGAAATTTTTTTCAAAAAAGGTAAAATATTAAAATTTTCAAAGTTTAAGAGAAGTTAAAAAATTCTTCATATACTAATTTACAAGATTTTCAAATTTTAAGGGGGCGAGCGCCCCTCTCGCACCCTCTGGCTCCGCCACTGCATGTAACGGGTGTATATTCTATATGATGATGAAATTTTGACACGTATATATATGAATAATAAAGTAAGATTCTTTTTCATTTATTTAGACCTAAATATTTTTAATAATGTGTCAAATTATAATTAACAAATTATACAGCTAAATGATATACCCTTTACATAAAAAATCTTCTTCCAGTACACAAGCTGGTAGCCACTTTCCCCTCCTCCTTTTATTCAAGAGCATTATCTTTATAATTCGTAATGGTTTTTGCCTACATGCATCCAGTCTCTTCTTGAGCTGTGTCACATTCCCGGTTGCCAAAGGAAGGGACCCAAGCCTGCTGTCTTCCATTCATCATCTTCCCATCAAAGTGAAGTGATGCCTTTGTTTGGTGTTAATTTGTGTCCTAGCCCGCATCATGTAGTGTAAATAATAGTCTAATAGAGGACATTCATTAATATTTCACTTACTAACTAATTTTATTATTTGCTGCTAAGGATTTGGTGATCTGGAGATAATATTGAAGTCAAAATTGAGATTTGAAAATTTTCAAGTTTATAGTGGATACAAAATTTATAATATTTTATTAGTAAATAACCTCAATCATATCAATAGATTATATTACACAAGACTCTATATGTATATAAGGATTAATGTTTGTTTTGTTTACCTTTAAAAAATTAAAAGAAAAAAAAAATTCATGTTTTAAAAATAAAATATTTTAATTTTTTTAATAAATATTTATTAAAATAAGTCAATTTTAAAATAATATTTCTTTTAATCTTCAAAAGATAAAACGAATAAACCTATTTTCATATATATATATATATATATATTATATTGCTTTCTTCATTTTGCCAATCATGGCTTTATGATGCTAGTATGCTTTACATGATGCCGAATGGCAATTCTATGTCATTACCCCCTCTTGTCTCACTTCTGTGTTGTATAAATGGGGTGGCATTTTAGTAAAAAAGATAAAAATACAATAATTAGATATTGAAACAGCACATATAGCCATTTGTTGGTTAGATTAATGGAGATAAAATAAAAATAATAACATTTAGTTTCTACTATAAATAAAATGTAGAACAACTAAATAAAAATTGAGAGGGTATATTCTAACTTATCTCTTGTAGTATATGATGACACAGTCTTAAAACTAAATTTGTCTCATTTCCCAACTTTTTGACCCTTAATTGACAGGTTACTTCTTTAATTTAATTTAAATAATACAGTTATCATATTATATAAAATAAAATATATATATCAATTTTAACTCTCAAAAAAATTAAAGTTTTAATATTAAATTATTTTATTTTATTTAATTAAAATTTAAATTAAATTTAAAAATTTATCTTAATAAATATTGATATTTATATTTGAAAACTAATTGAATTTAAAACTTTTGAATTGAGATTTCAATTTTTAAATATAAATTATGACTTTAATTTTTTTAAGAATTAAAATTAATATACATTAATCTCATATAACATTATAAATTATTGAAGTTATAATGTCAATTTATAGTTTTATATGTCATTGTAACTATATTATTATTATTAATTTGATTAATTTCAAATTGTTTTTTACCTAATTTGAAATGAACAAAAGAGAGCAAGATCAGGTCAACTTAAAAGCAATAACAACAATAATAATAATAAAAAGCACCCATATCTCTTTCCCACTATATTTTCTTTCACTTTCAAAATGAAATATCTTTTCAAAAATTGGTATGTATATCCCTTATCATCACAGTAAAACAAACAACTGCAATGCCATGACATTTAACTAGCATCACATCTTTTGTCCTCTTCTCAGTGCATTTTTTATTATGCACAAAAAGATTTTCCAGCTAGTATAGACTGTGACCGACTAACTACCTCCAAAAACTCGAAGAAAGAGATCTAATATTAAGAATCCCCATTCTTAATTTAATGGTAATTGTTTTACCATTTAAATGGTAAAATAATTTTTTATATTTTTAAATTTATTTTTGTGAAATTAATCTTTTAGACAACTTTTAAAATGTACCTTTATATTAATTTATTGTATTTAGAGAGATTATTTTTTAAAATAATAGTACTACAACTTAAACTTTAAAATTAATTTACAAATTAACACTAACTTATCAATAAATTTGAATTTCAAAGTTATATAGTTGTTAGTTACATAATTATTTATTAATAAATTCAACCTTAGTCATAGGGAGTAATCTCACTTGATCAATTATTTCTGCATAATTACCAACCACCTATTAGTTCAAATGAAAGGAGTTCGGTTCTCATTAAATAAGATATTAAATTTAAGTTTTGTAAATAGAGAAATAAGTACTGAAATAGCTTTTTTTTTTTATGGGATTTGATGCAATTTAATTCTAAATTAATTAGAACTCAATATGATTATCAATCCTGAGAGATTAATAAAAAAAAAAAACTATTTATGCATAATTAGTTTTTATTGTAAATGAATTTAGAGTATCTTTGTACTCCGTTTTCATGAATTCATTCACTTCTGCTAATAAAAAAAAAAGAAAAAGAAAAAAGTAGCTGCCATCTGCTACCGTTTAACTAAATTTAAAACAGTCCTCATCAGTTATACAATTGTTTATAATTGTGTACTATACATACACATACTTCCTTCCCTCCAAAGTTCTTTATTGTCAACCGCTTGTAAATAAGAAGCAGAAAAAGGGTGGTGGTCGAAGCTAAACTAACGATTAGTCGACTTTTCCTTCTTTCTTTGTATATTTTACTCAAGAATCAAGATTTTCCGCGTCGGATGGTGGATGGACCAAATGTTGGTCTTAAAGGTAAGTAGAAATAGATTACTTGCTCAACTTCTTTCCAATTTTTTAATGACCGACCATTTTATAGATTATAGATAAGATTTTCACTAAAAAAGTTGGTAAACTAATAGGACAAGCTAAACTAAATAACCATATTTGCTCATATCCAACAAGTTGAAACAGGTGTCTTGCATTCATAGGCCTTACTAACCAACTTTTTTTGCGGATAATTTTATAAATTAGAGGTGTTGGAAGATTGCATAATCCGATTAAGCGTTCAAAAAATTTATAATGTATTAAAGAAAAAAATTATAATTTTATATATAGGTACTACATATATATATTTTTTATTTTAGTTGTACAATAAGAAGTAGTCATTTTTTGTTTCTTATTCTATCTTACTTGTATGTCATATGATTCGAATTTGAGACTTTTTACTTTCAGTGGAAGGAGACGATCATTGTTACTTAGGTTTTGGCATACGTATTACATATATCGATATACTATATTGTGTAGAAAAAAAAGATTAGAGTATGTATTAGACTCTATTTGATTTGATGATTAAGAACAGTTGATATTTATTATTTTTGTTTATTTTTGGTAGATTTAGTATGATTTTTCTGATTATTTTATATAAATTTTAAATGAAAATTTAATATATTATATAAATAATAATTAATTATTTTTTATTAAATAAAAATACTCAATAAAAGCTTTATATAAAAATTTTTTAATTGTTATTCATATAAATTATTAAATTTTTATCTAAAATTCATATTTAACAATTAAAACAATTAGATTAAATCTATTAAAAGTAAACAAAAAATTTTATTTAATAGATTAAAACAGCTTATAAATTAATGTTTCCCAACACTATGATCAAACTATTTAAGGGAAAAAAAAAAGGGCTATTGAGTGATAAAATCAGTCAAGCCTAACACACCCTAACTACTATTTTTCCCTCTATTTCAATGAGGCTTTGGGGTTGAGCAGTTGGAGTTGAGCGGTTGGGCAGTTGAATATGTATGGTGTACACTTGTACTACACATGAAAAAGTGAAAAAAACCTCCCTTACACCCACAACATTAGTGGATGTGAAAAATCAAGGATATAAAGTTGCAGTTCTGAACAATCTACAGTTCAAAATGAGTGTAAATTACCTACAAAAATGTTCTTGAACCTTTAGATAATAATAATTATCTCATTTCAGTCACAACTTGTATGGTTTTTTTAGCAAAATCTAAAGAAAAGAAAATCTGTTATCCTGTTTAGCCTATTGAAAGGTCCGTCCTAAATTTGGGCTGGGTCCGGGTTACATGGGGGACCTCTTTCATTGGTAACTTTCAAATCCAAACCTTTATATAAATGCCCCATCGATAAGCTACGTAATGTCTTCCATTTTTGTAAGGCTCACTTTTTACTCTTACCCTTTTTTTTTTCCCCTTTTTTTTTTTTTTAGAGATTGACAATGCTATAATTAAGATACTACATATGTAAAATTATAAATAAATTATAAATTAAAAATAATTATAAAATAATATTATATTATAAATTTATAATATTACGTGATATTATAATTATATCATATCATTTTAATTTAAGATATAATTGTAGCTCTATTTCTTTAGTATTAAATTATAATATCTTTGTTAAAATTCCTTCTTTTTTTCTTTCTTATTTTTTGGTCCAAGATATAAAAACATCCAAGTACTTTGCTTGCGTTTTTGAACATGATAAAGTCCCAAGAAATGTCAGATTCACGTTATTCTTTCACAAAGTGATACACATGTTTAATCATAAATTATACAACAGAAGATGATGGTTAACAGTCTTATGAATAATTTTATCTAATTGCAGAAAAGACTAAGACATGAGTTCTCTCCTGTTGGGTAGCTGGTCCTTCACATTTGGTGGTTCATGTGATGAAGAGGCTGCCTGTGACAAGAGTCTAAAGCTTGCCTTGAGAGCAATATGGTCTGATGACCAGTAAGGAGAAGGAAGAGCCTTACCCAGGCTTTCCTTACTGGGAAGTTCTAATAAGCTTTCAACTTTGAGCCTGTCAGCTGTGGAGAAACAGAAACACAGGCTTAGACCAATAGCAATGGCCCAGTAAAGTTTCTAAAGAAACAGTTTTTTCATAGCCAAACTATTATGGTTAATAGAGGAATCTAAGTCACAACTCACAATACCGACTATATTTTGAAGGGCATCTGTTGTTACAAACAATTATGACTGAGGTAATAATGTGTACAATCATCAAAACAAATCAATTTTGAATTCATGATTGACAAAGCTTTGAAAAAACAAGCAATTTGATAAAGGGTACCTGAGGTCAAGGATACATACCTGAGTATAGAATATAATCCAAGGTTCCAGCAAACTTTTGAGTGAAAATGGTAAAGTTTTCAGGAAAAGAAGCATATGCACTTTCCTGTAAAGTAATCTTCTTGCATGAGCATGATGACAATGACAGCATCAAGCAAACAAAAGTTTTTTGCACGTGATAACAGCTTACCAGATGTAAAGAATGCACTAGCCTGATAAAGCGTTCAATATGTAATGGATTATTTCCTTCAATAGAATTGATTTCTCCTTTTATTAGCAAGGCATGAGGATCACTGTAATAATATTCATACAGAAATAAATGTTATTTTGAAAATAAATATATGTGGCTGTCTATGAACAATTATGAATATGACAACTTTACCCGATTATATATATACAATGCACAAACTTCCCATAAACTTGAGAAAGATCTAAACAAGCACAAGTTCATTTTTTTGATTACACAAAGGGGAAAAGATCTCAAAAATAAAGAAGAGAATGGAGGGTATTTTCCCACCTACACACAAATGTATTCATATCATATCTATGATAATTTCTATACTCATCACTACTATTTACCAAAGAAAATGATACCACTCTTAAAAGGCAATAAGCATCAATCTTTTAATGTAAATCACCATCAGTAAGAGCAGAAGATTAACCTTCCAGGAACAGAGTTCAAATCAGCGCAAATCAACATGGGAATCTGCAATTGGGTAATTTCTTCAAGTTTATGGATAAGAGTGGCAACCTTGGTAGAAATTAAGTAATTGTCAGAACTCTTTTTAGTTCTAGAGAATAAATGAATTATAGATCCATCTCTAAACTTAATTACACACCTGGAATACTCTTACATCAGGCCGGTTCTTTTCTGAATACACATGAGTATTTGCCTGCAAGTTGAAAAATTAAGCATGACTGCCATTCTCCATGTCTAATAGCATAACATGCAGTAAACATTGAATATGTACTTTACCACACAAATTCTAGATTGAAGGTCAACATCAGTGCTGCCATCTCTAAGTGCTTGTAATACAACAATAAGAGCAACATTATGCTGCAAAACCAAAATCTGAATATAAGGGAAATAAAGAAAGACCATTCAAATTATAGTTGAAGTAGAAACAAGAATAGTCAGACCATAGTATAGAGCAATGACTACAGAAGATGATAATACCATTCTTAGGCGGGTAGCACCATCATTTTGTAGCTCAGGTTCCAATGCTTCTTGAACCACCTGTGCTTTCCTGTTAAACTCAAGCTACAGCTGTCAAGTCAGAATTGTTAGCCACACCACAATAAAAAGTTATTTACACATTTTGGGGACTCTTTACCTCATATATCACGATTTCTCTGAACAGGTTATGCCGGTAAAAAGTTGCACATCCTTCACTTACATACCCCTCAGCTGTAAAGATCTGCAACACATTCAACAATGGCATTTTTTGATTCAGCTAGATGAGATGTCAAGTCTGACTTTGCACTATGAAACCAGTTATGGAAGATATATCCTAAAATACTCCCCATAAAATTTGCTAAAGTGCTTGAGCCAACTCATGAAGGAAAAAACAAGATGCACTATTGAATAGAATATACCTCATTTGTTTTTTTCTTGTACAAAGCTGAATATCCACGTTTTGTCAGCTCAGGTTTAAAAAAACTTTCATAGTGGTTATCTTGGACCTGCCTCAAACATTGAAGAAAGTTACATAAACTAGACAGATAAATCAAGCCCCACTGTATTCAATTAGCACTTATACCATATAAAAGTAGGCAGAGAAAAAATTTACCTCTTGCAGGCAAATAATATCTGCATCATATTCAATGATCTCATTCAGCAAGTTTTGCCTGCGATATTCCCAGCAAAGTGCCCATTTTGGACAGTAACTTTGCCTTTGTGTGCCTTTAGTATGCATATCAGCAAGAATGTTGTAAGATAGCACAGTAAATACAAAACCATCAGAAGACAAATATTTCTCATTACTTCCAATTCCAACCATCAGGCGTGGAGAAGGGAGAGGAAAAGTCAGAAGACCAGTCACTATATTTTCAACAGGAGAGAAATGAGTGCCCTCTGCATGATCAATAGCAAAAGACTCCAGCCTCAGAGGCAATCTGATTCCATCATTTGAAGGGTCATATATTATTGAAGACCCCACTTTAACCCATTTTGCCCCTTCTTGTTCTGCAATCTCATCCAGTGACTCAGGCCATGAGCCAGAACTCCTTTTCAGCTTGTTTACTTCGCATTGATCGCCAAATGTAGACGTAGTCTTACATTCAGCAGCATTACGATGAGAATTCTTATGCCTTTCCCATGCACCTGCAAAGCACTCTGGAGTACAATGATAACTCTGTTCCTTAGGTATGTTCAATTTTACACAATCGATGCATTGAACACTGGCCAACTTCTCATTGTGCACTGAACAAGTAATAAGCTTTTCCAAGTGCCTATAAGAAAGACAACAAAAAGAGGAACTTTCAACAGCTAATACCTTATAATGGTATACCATGCGCTACTCAAACTAACTATTGCTAATTCATTTTAGGTTGGATAGCCACTAAGATATTAGACTCTACTAATTTTTCTAATAAACAGGAAACACATGGAACAAAATGGCTTAATTACAATCCAATAAAAGATTCAGTCTCTTCCAAGATATGGGGATTTCAAAGAACAGATTCTTGTACAACTGAAGAAATTTCATAACAAATTATAAAATAAAACTCCCAAGCAATAAATTTAGCTTATATAGGTATCATTCGTTATTACTAAACATTCAACTCTTTTTTCTTTAATTTCTTGCATTTTACTTTCCTTATCCACCAAAAAATTAATGAATCATCACTTCAAACAAAGAAATTAGGAAAATTAAAATCAAAACTACAAAGGGGATAGCAAAAACCAGCAGAAATTGAATGAGCGAGGGGGAGCTGCAAGAAGGAAGCCGGCAGTTCTGGCAGCGATTTCAACGCCGGCTACCGAGACAGGAGTATCAGAAAGCAGAGTAACATTCAGGGTAAGTTCGTACCTGGCGTTTCCTTCATCTTCTTGGGAAGCCATAGCCATTCGAGGTTCAAGATGGAGCAGAGAGCAGAAGAATTGATGTAGAAATTAGTAAAGTTCTGGGTTTTGAAGGAGAAAGATCCGTGGGGTTTAAGCGGAAGAAGAAAGAAGTGGGTGTACATGGTTAGATATATGATGACGGGTTAAGGTGGCGCAGTGCGGAGTTTCGTTGTTGCGCGGCGGTGCGCGAGGCTCTTACCCGCCACTTTCGCACGAAGTTCTCGACTGCATCGAGTGGGAAAGCACGGATTCGGACGATACAAAAATTCGACCAAAACAACACTGTGTCCCTTTGAGTTCCGTTGAGCATCTTTATTTTTACAGGACTACTTTTTTTGAGTTTTGTACTTTGGCCGTGTAGACTGAATCAAATTATAAAATAGGAATATGATTGAAGGAGGATTTAATATAGAGGGCTCCACCCTCGTCCAAGACAAAAGTTTTTTATTATTTTTTATTTTTTTATTTTTTTGGGCTATATAATTGTTTTTTTTTTTTTTTCTTTTGACCAAGTAGATGGTTAAGAAGTTAGTAGAGTTAGTTTATTAGCAGCTGAAATTTTTTCAGGAAAGTGAACCTTTCACCTCCTCATTTGAGGCGCGCGATCATTAGGTCGCAAGTTAGTGGAGTTTACGGCGGTGACAGAACTCGAAACCTTGACCTCTGTCTCACCCAAACCCTAAAACTTGGGGCCAACCAATTGGATCACAGGTCCGGTTGGCGGACTATATAATTGTTGAAAGTCTAATATAAAGGAGGAATTTATTTCCACTAATAACAAATTGTCCCTAAAAGTTTTCATCTCAAAGTTTTTTCATTCTTTTCTTTTAATTGCCAAAAGTTACTTTTTCTTCCTTTTTCATTTTATAATGAGAATTTTCAAAAAGTAAAAAGGCTTGTTGATGCTTGCTTAGCTGTGGTTTTGTTTGTTTATAGAAACCAAGCCTAAAGGATTCATGGTCGCTTTTATTGCTTCTTTCTGTTCAACGAGATGAATGTATCCTTACATATAAATTTATGAAAAAAAGAAAAGAAAAGAAAATTTAGTGGGGCATTAAAAATGTTATTAAACATGTTAGGATATTTTAACCATAATTATTAAATATGTTAAACATATTTAAGCCTTAACTTTATTAAATTTGTTATGTAGCTATTGTTAAATGTCTTAATATTTACGTCCTGATTATTTTTCTTTATTTATTTGATATAATATAATTAGGAGTTAGTGTTTATCTATTTTACTTTTTTAAAATTAAGAGAAAATTATTTTAAAATTACATAATTTTAATAAAGTACCATAGAAAAAGATAAATAAACACTTTAATTCATATTTTAAAAATAAGGTGTTTTAGTTTTTTTTTTTTATATGAAAGTTTATTGAAACAATGTAATTTTGAGATAATTTCTTTTAAATTTTTAGGAAGTAAGATAAATAGATACTATTCTCATATAATTATTATTAATGTAATTATTTTAATATATTAGTTATACAAAAGATGACATCTCTTCATTTTTTTCTAAATTTCTCTTTATTCAACACAAGATTTAAATTTGATATTTTTAACTTATAATCTCATGTTTTTAATCATGTTAAAAAGAAAATAATGCAAATCTAAATTTATCAATGAATTTGGAGAGATAAACTACCATTTAAGACCTATTCCTTTCAATTATTTATGTGAATTTTTTTATCACTAATATGTTATCTATCGATAGTTAAAATATGTGTTTAATCAGTAATTTTATTAAATTTAAAGTTTTTAACTTTTCATCTTATATTATTAAGTTTTAACTTTTAAACGTAAAGGTTTAAAAATTTTAATCCCTAGACTAATGGAATCTATTAATTATCTATTAAAACAAGAATAAAATATTTACAAAATCAATTTTCAAAAATTTAAAATATAATAATTTAGTTTCAAAATTTTAAAAATTAAAAAAAAAATAGTAAACTAAAAAAATTAATAGATAACTTTTTTTACATATATTAGATATTTATAATTAATTGAGCAATTAACTCAATTTAAAGAAAGAATTCTAACTGAAATTAAATAAAAATTTTTAATTGAATTAAGACAGATAGTTTAGAAGATTAGAAGAATACAGTTAAAAAAATTTTCTTTAATTTCAATCAGATTTCTTTTTTTAGATTGACCTAATCACTTAATTTGATTATAGATATTTAATACTGTTCTTGTGTATATGACAAAATCATTCAATAATTATTTTTAATTTTTAAGTTTTTAGAACTAAATTATTACGTTTTTAATCGTTGAGAACTAATTTTGTAAATATTTGATTCTCATTTTATAAAAAAATTAACAAATTTTGTTAGTTTATGACAAAAAATATTCAAACCTTTAAATTCAACTATTAAATATTTCATGCATTTGAACCTTCGATTCAGTGACGTCAAATCACATATAATTGTATTTTCTCTCACTTAGGGCAACGATTCGATTTCAATCCTTTACAAATTTGTTCAAAAAATCTACTAAATATTTCATAATATAAAATGAACCGTTAAAAACTTTAAACTTATTAAACTAAATGACTAACTGCATACTTTAGCATTTATCAATCACCTACAAAAATAAATTAATCTACCCTAGTCAATCCATTAATTGTATTTTATGTTTGATAAACGAAATAAAACTATATTTTTTTTCAACTAAACGACCTTAAGGGCGCGAAAGTTTGCAAACCTAACTTCACCTTGATCTTGATCTAGCTAGAAAGATTAAGATATTGAAGAATTTGCAATTTGCACTCCAAATCGCACCATCACCTTCCAAACATCAGGAAAAGACCCCAAAGTCACATGCTATTCCCATACGAGGTTCTCTGTCTACGGAACATGGTACTTACCATTTTAATATTGTAGGATTAATCCTTCTTGGTCTTGGCAGACAGTTTGCTGCCATTAATTATCCGTTGCCAAACCTCCAAATTAAGTTTTTTTGGCACCAATCAGGAACCATGTGCTGCAGATTCCCATAAAAAATGTTAGGAAATGTATGATTAACACATATTTATAATGTAATTAAAGAGGAATCTGCATATATTTTACTCCAATTTTTAGTTATAGATTTGTTTAAGAAAGCCTGTTTTGTCGTTTAGTTTGAAGCATCAGAGTGAGACAATGGCCCTTTAAGTACTGTTCTTAAGGCCTCTAAGGCTCAAAGAAGTGACCAAAAATGAAGTTCCAAAAGCTCGCCATCATTTCTCTAATCCCCATATTTTGGCTGCTTCTCTTGGCCTATGCTGCTCAGCCTCCATTCGCATGCCACCCCTCCGACCCTCTAACCAAATCTTATCCATTTTGCAAAACCACACTGCCCATCAACCAAAGAGTCCAAGACATTATCTCTAGACTCACTCTAGATGAGAAAATATCCCAACTTGTTAACACTGCCCCCCCTATTCCACGACTGGGCATCCCCAGATACCAGTGGTGGTCCGAGGCCTTACATGGGATTGCCTATTTTCCTGCCAACAGCAGTACCTACAGCATCCACTTCAATGGAAAAATCCGTGCTGCTACCAGTTTTCCTCAAGTTATCCTCACTGCTGCTTCCTTTGATGCCCATCTTTGGTACCGTATTGGTAAAGTAAGTTTAAAGTTAAGGCAAACGGATACTTAAATCAAGTTTAAAGTCAACAACCTTATACATGAATATGTTTTGGTTACAAATGCTTGCAGGCAATTGGAATCGAAGCCAGAGCACTATACAATGCTGGCCAGTCTATAGGTATGACGTTCTGGGCACCGAATATTAACATCTACAGGGATCCACGGTGGGGAAGAGGACAAGAAACACCCGGTGAGGATCCAGTTTTGACGGGGAAGTATGCAATGTCGTATGTTAGAGGCATTCAGGGGGATTCTTTTCAAGGAGGAAAGATTGGAGCTGAAGGTCATCTCCAAGCTTCAGCTTGTTGCAAGCATTTTACAGCTTATGATTTGGATAACTGGAATGGAATTAGCAGATTTGTTTTTAATGCTCAAGTAAGTTTGATTTCCAAATTCTGACCTCATTCTATATTTATAAATGGGTAATACTACGCAGACAACCCGTGAACACATGCAATATCATGAGTTTTAGTATAGAAAAGTTATATAAAATTGCTGTCTCTGTTAAAAGATTCCATCTTATTGGGTTTCTCTTTTAATTAACAGGTGAGCTTACAGGACTTGGCAGATACATATCAGCCTCCTTTTGAGAAGTGCATAAAAGAAGGGAAAGCCAGTGGGATCATGTGTGCTTATAATCGTGTTAATGGAGTCCCTAACTGCGCAAACTACGATCTCTTGTCCAAAACAGCTCGAGGGCAATGGGATTTCAACGGGTAAATCAAATGAATAATTAGAATTGAAAATCATTTCCACATTCAGTACTATCGTCATGATATATATATTGTAAGATAATTGTGTGCTTAAAAAATTAAAATCAGGTACATCGTCTCAGACTGTGATGCAGTCGCTGTCATGTATGAGGATCAAGGATATGTTAAATCACCCGAGGATGCAGTTGCTGATGCTCTCAAAGCTGGTACATTGTTCTCATCTCAGTTCTGGTTCTCCTACTATTCAACAATTTGAGCTCAGACTTCAAATTTTAGGAAAAACTATCTCTTGTTATATAATTCATTATTGAATGTAACAAAATGCTAAGCACAGTTTTTTTGGGTCTACTTTTACAGGAATGGATGTGAACTGCGGTGACTATTTAAAAGACTACACTGGAGCAGCCATCAAAGAGAAGAAACTTCCTGTGTCTGAGATAGATAGAGCCCTTCACAACCTTTTCTCCGTTAGAATGAGATTGGGGCTTTTCGATGGCAACCCGGATAAACTGCCTTACGGTAACATCCGTCCAGAACAAGTCTGCTCCAAGGAACACCAGAATCTTGCTCTTGATGCTGCTAGAGATGGCATTGTCCTTCTAAAAAACACTGGCAAACTTCTTCCATTTTCAAAATCAAGAACCAAGACCCTTGCTGTGATTGGCCCTAACGCTAATGTCGCAGAAACCCTTCTTGGTAACTATAACGGTCCTCCTTGCAAAACTGTTACACCATTACAAGGTTTGCAGAGGTATGTCAAGAACACCAGATATCACCAAGGGTGTAATGCAGTTAATTGTACTTCTGCTTTCATCAAGGAAGCAGTGGAGATAGCAAAAGGAGCAGACCATGTTGTGTTAGTAATGGGATTGGATCAAACCGAAGAAAGGGAAGATTTTGATCGTGTTAACTTGGTACTTCCAGGGCAGCAACAGAAGCTGATAACAACCATTGCCAGAGCTGCAAAGAAGCCTGTTGTTCTGGTGCTTCTCTGTGGAGGTCCGGTAGACATAACCTTTGCCAAGTACGATCCACACATCGGAAGCATTTTATGGGCTGGATATCCAGGAGAAGCTGGAGGACTTGCACTGGCAGAAATTATCTTCGGTGATCACAACCCAGGTGACACAATAAATTACACGATCCCATTTCTATGCACAATAAACAGAGAGATAATCCCCAGCTAAGACTAGTTTAATTTAATCTTCATATGCAGGGGGAAGATTGCCAGTTACCTGGTATCCACAAAATTTCACCAGGGTAAACATGACAGACATGAGGATGCGTCCGGACCCATCTTCGGGCTACCCAGGACGCACTTACAGATTCTACCGAGGCCCCAAGGTGTTTGAGTTTGGGTTTGGTCTCAGCTACTCAAACTATTCTTATGAATTCATCTCAGTTTCCCAAAACGAGTTCTATTTCAATCAGCATTCAAGTGGTCATACAAGCAGAAACTCAGAAACCATCAGATACACGCTAGTTTCAGAGGTAAGTAAAGAACACTGTGAGAAAGGGAAGTTCAAGGTCAAAGTTGGGGTAAAGAACTATGGAGAGATGGCAGGCAAACATCCACTGCAGTTATTTGTGAGGCAGGCAAGGGCTGGCAATGGGGGGGCTATCAAAACATTGGTTGGATTCCAGAGTGTGAATCTAAATGCAGGGGAAAGAGCTCAAATTGAATTTAAATTGAGCCCTTGCGAGCAGCTTGCGAGAGCTAATAAAGATGGGGAGATGGTAATAGAAGAAGGATCTCATTTCTTGATCATGGGAGACCAAGAATATGAGATTAACGTCATCATATGATCAATAACTCCAGGTCTCCAACACATCAGCAGATTTACTAGCTGATGAATAATATAAGCATTTTCCAGTTAGTTTCTGCAGCCATATATCACAGGTTGCAACAAAATAAAAATGCTATTCTGAGCACTACAACTCATTTATAGCTTGCTTGCAAATTAAAGCTTTTCATGCAATATCTCTCCCATCAAACTTTTGCTTGGTAATGGATACACGAAGGCAAAGACAGTGGAATAATGTGTGCTAATAATCATGTTAATGGAGTCCACAGCGGTGTCTTGAACATTTCTAATGTGTATTTGTTACAATAGCTAAAAACAGTAAGAGAACTGAACAA